ATGCAGGTGTCTAAAAAGCACTTCCTTATTGAAATGCATTAATGGATATCACATAAATCAGTATGTGTGTGTGTGTATGTGTATGTGTATGTGTATGTGTATGTGTATGTGTATGTGTATGTGTGTGTGTATGTGTATGTGTATGTATGTGTATATGTGTATGTGCGCATGTGTGTGTGTGTGTGTGTGTGTGTGTGTGTGTGTGTGTGTGTGTGTGTGTGTGTGTGTGTGTGTGTGTGTGTGTGTGTGTGTGTGTGTGTGTGTGTCTCAGAGTGAGAGTGAGAGTGAGAGTGAGAGTGAGATTGAGAGTGAGAGAGACTGAGAGTGAGAGTGAGAGTGAATGAGACTGAGAGCAAGAGTGAGAGAGACTGAGACTGAGACTGAGACTGAGAGAGAGAGAATAAAATAAAAATGGTGAGTATTTGATTAAACAGACTTCCGTTTGAGGAGAAATGTGAAATTAATATGAAATGTCTATCCTCCTGATTAAATATTCCAGGGTGGCTTATTCTTACTGACGAAACAAACTTTGGTGCAATTTTGGTAAGTACGATTCTGTCAACACTTTGGGCAATCATATTAAGTCATCTATAAAAAATAAATAACTATGATTTGACTATCACAAATATTTAGGGATAGTATAACCATTTCAATTATCCCAATTCATCTAATAAGACAAATGTACCACATGAAAATTACATTAACCAAGATAGTTAAAAATCCTGTTGCACACACTATTGTACAAGTCATGGCATTAAAATTTTTATATAAGAGAAAATAACTGAATCTGGTAATATGCTATACAAGGCATACCAGTGAATCAAAGTCCTGTATATATATCATTTTCCAGTGACCGCAACACTGAAATTACCTTGCAATGATTAACATTATATATTTACATACACACACACACACACAGACTGACATTATTCATCAAAGAGATCAATTCTCCAGTAAGACAACCTTCCTCCGAGAATAAATCTTTTAACACTAAAGGGCAAACATCTGGTTATCCTTGTCATCGCGGGCCATTGTTCGTTGCCGCTGACCCGAGGAGCCAGTGGCCGCAGTGATGGTCGGCAAAGCATCGGCTGCAGCTGCTCGTTCAGCGAGGAAGCGGTCAAATTCTGATGACGATATAGGCTCCTGTCTTGGCCCAGCACCAGCTTGCCCCTCACCAGGCTGTACAAAGTAAATGTATCTTAAAGTTCATTAAAACTATAATAGACAAAGGGTATGCCATCTTACAGTATGATATTATTTCCTATGATGCAAGAAATTTATGAATAATCATGCATGATTAATCCATTTTCTTTTTTAAAAATAAATTCATACTGTAAAAAAGAACCGAAAATCAACAGGAAATTTCACACTGCATACATAATACCATGGCATTACATATCCAGTTTTCCTTTTTTTTCTGAGAAGTGAAACAATAGTTGAACAAAACTTTCATGAAAAAGGATAATAATACTACTCCAGATACCTATTAATGGTCAAACTACTCCTAACACAAGCTGTATTAACACCTTGCTCCTTGCACATTGAAATCTACTTACATTTTCATTTAGCCAGGCTTCTATCGCGTCAAAGTCACTGTCTTTCTGTTGCTGGAAAACATACATCCACAAAAACATCACATTAGCTAAGTTTCAGAGAACAGCATAGAGCTTCTTAACTATTTTTGTGTTAAGGAGAACTGCATTAATCTGGAAAAGTTGAAGACATCCAGCTACAGGTAGAAAAAAATGTATGTTCTGTTATACTTAGTCAATAAAACGGAGAGGAAGGGACAAGGGGGGAGACAGGAGAGAAGGGGAGAGGAAACGGGAGGACAAGAAAACACAAGAAATGAAGAGAGGGGAAAGAAGCTGAGGAAAGAAGAAGAAAAGAAAAAGGTGAAAAAAGGAGAGGCAAGTAGAATAAAGGGAAGCAAATCTGAGATAAGGAAAAAATATATATCTATATATATAAAATGAGAAAAGAAAAAGGAGAGGGAAGGATACAATACAGGAAGGAAAATCTAGAATCAGGTTGGCTCAGTAAGACTGAATTTGCCCTGGTTTACATCCAATTTGATGGGAGCTCTAGTAAGGCACAGTTATGCCTGTCTACAAAAAAACTACAACATCAACAACATCAAAGGCTATGGCTTTTCCTTGTCTGTCTATAGAAAAAGCAACTAGTGACTTTTACCATCTCTCTCAGTAACAATTGTCTTTGTAATTCCTTATTTATTGTGAATAAATTTATTTCCGACTGAATATTTTGGAAAGACCCAAACCAATATAACTGCTAAAATGAAAACTGATGATTAAGCTTTTTCAAATCTGAACAAATTTTCAATTCTATTTAACATTCATTACAAAATTTATTATGAAACACACACACACACACACACACACACACACACACACACACACACACACACACACTCACACTCACACTCACACTCACACTCACACTCACACTCACACTCACACTCACACTCACACACACACTCACACTCACACACACACACACACACACACACACACACACACACACACACACACACACACACACACACACACACACATACACACACACACATATATACGGGGTATGTGTCATCCAGCTACAGGTAGAAAAAAATGTATGTTCTGTTATACTTAGTCAATAAAACGGAGAGGAAGGGACAAGGGGGGAGACAGGAGAGAAGAGGAGAGAGGAGAGAGGAGAGAGGAGAGAGGAGAGAGGAGAGAGGAGAGAGGAGAGAGGAGAGAGGAGAGAGGAGAGAGGAGAGAGGAGAGAGGAGAGAGGAGAGAGGAGAGAGGAGAGAGGAGAGAGGAGAGAGGAGAGAGGAGAGAGGAGAGAGGAGAGAGGAGAGAGGAGAGAGGAGAGAGGAGAGAGGAGAGAGGAGAGAGGAGAGAGGAGAGAGGAGAGAGGAGAGAGGAGAGAGGAGAGAGGAGAGAGGAGAGAGGAGAGAGGAGAGAGGAGAGAGGAGAGAGGAGAGAGGAGAGAGGAGAGAGGAGAGAGGAGAGAGGAGAGAGGAGAGAGGAGAGAGGAGAGAGGAGAGAGGAGAGAGGAGAGAGGAGAGAGGAGAGAGGAGAGAGGAGAGAGGAGAGAGGAGAGAGGAGAGAGGAGAGAGGAGAGAGGAGAGAGGAGAGAGGAGAGAGGAGAGAGGAGAGAGGAGAGAGGAGAGAGGAGAGAGGAGAGAGGAGAGAGGAGAGAGGAGAGAGGAGAGAGGAGAGAGGAGAGAGGAGAGAGGAGAGAGGAGAGAGGAGAGAGGAGAGAGGAGAGAGGAGAGAGGAGAGAGGAGAGAGGAGAGAGGAGAGAGGAGAGAGGAGAGAGGAGAGAGGAGAGAGGAGAGAGGAGAGAGGAGAGAGGAGAGAGGAGAGAGGAGAGAGGAGAGAGGAGAGAGGAGAGAGGAGAGAGGAGAGAGGAGAGAGGAGAGAGGAGAGAGGAGAGAGGAGAGAGGAGAGAGGAGAGAGGAGAGAGGAGAGAGGAGAGAGGAGAGAGGAGAGAGGAGAGAGGAGAGAGGAGAGAGGAGAGAGGAGAGAGGAGAGAGGAGAGAGGAGAGAGGAGAGAGGAGAGAGGAGAGAGGAGAGAGGAGAGAGGAGAGAGGAGAGAGGAGAGAGGAGAGAGGAGAGAGGAGAGAGGAGAGAGGAGAGAGGAGAGAGGAGAGAGGAGAGAGGAGAGAGGAGAGAGGAGAGAGGAGAGAGGAGAGAGGAGAGAGGAGAGAGGAGAGAGGAGAGAGGAGAGAGGAGAGAGGAGAGAGGAGAGAGGAGAGAGGAGAGAGGAGAGAGGAGAGAGGAGAGAGGAGAGAGGAGAGAGGAGAGAGGAGAGAGGAGAGAGGAGAGAGGAGAGAGGAGAGAGGAGAGAGGAGAGAGGAGAGAGGAGAGAGGAGAGAGGAGAGAGGAGAGAGGAGAGAGGAGAGAGGAGAGAGGAGAGAGGAGAGAGGAGAGAGGAGAGAGGAGAGAGGAGAGAGGAGAGAGGAGAGAGGAGAGAGGAGAGAGGAGAGAGGAGAGAGGAGAGAGGAGAGAGGAGAGAGGAGAGAGGAGAGAGGAGAGAGGAGAGAGGAGAGAGGAGAGAGGAGAGAGGAGAGAGGAGAGAGGAGAGAGGAGAGGGGTATGTGTGTATCTATACAACTACCATCAAAATTTCTGTAATACCAGTATGTATAACAATACACACAAGTAGAGTCCACAAGAAAGTACTGACTAAAAACTAAATATATCAATGCAAAAGGTGTATCAAACAGGTGAGCAAAGATCTGTGCAACATTTGAAAGCTGTGACGTGCATCAGTGAGATACAAAAAAAATACATGTCTAATGCACACCAGTATAATTTATCCACATATATTAAATCATTACTTGATTTTCTGAAATCAAACCCTTATAAAGTATCAGCATTTGATATCACAATTCTAAGTCACATGAAATTCTGGATTCCTAGAGACCATTACTCTTTTGCACTTACAAATGCCTAACCTAAAACCTAAGGCATACCAAGTTACTTTCTTACAACCAGCCCCTATTACATATGATGTTAATATATTCAGTTTCCAATCATATTTGTTGACAACACTACTGACTGACCATACACAAGGACCCTGCAACTATAAATATAGGTACTAGATAAGTTTCAGAATGTAAAAAAAAAGTGTTAAATCAATCAATGAATATAAAGGAACTGTAGTTTTCATTCAATCTATACAAAACTAAATAAAAAGGAAGAGAAGGAAGGATGGAGAAAGTGGAGAATGAAAGAGGGGTGAGAGAGAGAGAGAGAAGAGAAAGAGAGGAAGAAAAAAAGAGGAAGAGAGAGAGACAAAGAGACACAAGAAGAGAAAATGGAAAAGGGTGGAAGGAAGGGGGAAGAAAGAAAATGAGAGAGGAGGGGAGGGGCCAAGAGACAAGGAGAGAGAAGAGGAGAGAGGAGAGAGGAGAGAGGAGACAAGAGGAGAGGAGAGGAGACAGGAGAGAGGAAACAAGTGAAGAGAAGAGAAGAGAAGAGAAGAGAGGGAGGAGGGAAGTTGACACCTCTACCTTCTTTAACTGAATACCGCCAGGAAAATACTATACTCATTTTACATTTTTTTTGTGAAATGTCTGTACATAGATGGCTCTGGAAGTGCTGAGCCATAAAGGAGTCAATTATTAGACCTTGTGACCATAACTGATTTCACTTTTCCTTGAATTTTTTTTTTTTTACTAATGCTACGAATATTGATGGAGTTATTTTTGAAAATCAAGGAAAAGGGTAAACAGGTGACACAGGCAGTACTTGTAATTGGCTCAATGGTGTCTTAGTACAAGTGTAGCCATCTATGTGTAAAATCAATTAATTAAGTAAACTCACAGTGGGCATGGCACATACGTATATGCCATGCCCATCAGATTTCAGTTAAATATCACCAATAATTAATAAAACAAGACTACACATTTGGTAGCTATATGAATAAAATAAAAAAAATTTATATCACAACTCTGATATTCGGAAAGATGTCACCTCCTTCCTGTCTTCCAACTCTGGTTTTAATTACACATTCAACAGTCAGGTAAAATAATCAGAATCTATACTCTGATAAATGTTTAATAAAAATAAATTCTTTAAAACTGTTTTTAAACGTTGAAGTATTTAAAAAGAGCAAGAGAATAAAACACAGTAAATCAAATTAACATTTTTCAAATAGAAAAGAAGGGAAATCAGATATATAAAAAAGAAAAAGAATTAGACTAACAAAAAAAGGATATGATAATACAATACTTAAAAAAATAAAGTTCTAATAATAATGAAAACATAAAAATACTGTCAAGTACAACTTATTATAACTTCTACATGTTACAAATCAAAATACCATGCATTTGTTAAGTAAATATAACTTGAATCAATTACTTTTTCTATATTCCATCATACACCTAAGACAACAATATGTCAATCAATCTATGTTACCTTCTTACATCTCAAGAAAGACTCAACAAATATATCTAGGACAAAACTACATATATAACTGTTAACAGAATGTCATATACCCTATCAATGTCATGCATCTTGATAACAATACTGATTAGTATGTCAACAAAGTAATTAAATAAGCCTATTACATCTAGCTGACCATAAAAAGAGTTATATTGTTTACCTGCAAAGAAAGGTTTACTACATACATACAAGTAAATATATGTATGTGTATGTGTATATATATTACACACACACACACACACACACACACACACACACACACACACACACACACACACACACACACACATATATGTATACATATAAGAAATATATGTATGTATACATATATATATATATATATATATATATATATATATATATATATATATATATATATATATATATGTATGTATATATATTCATTATATACATCATATAATAAATATACATACATTTATACATATACATATATACATATATATTCATATATATACACATATGTATATGTGTGTGTGTGTGTGTGTGTGTGTGTGTGTGTGTGTGTGTGTGTGTGTGTGTGTGTGTGTGTGTGTGTGTGTGTGTGTGTGTGTTCGTGTGTGTTCGTGTGTGTTCGTGTGTGTTCGTGTGTGTTCGTGTGTGTTCGTGTGTGTTCGTGTGTGTTCGTGTGTGTTCGTGTGTGTTCGTGTGTGTTCGTGTGTGTTCGTGTGTTCGTGTGTGTTCGTGTGTGTTCGTGTGTGTTCGTGTGTGTTCGTGTGTGCTTGTGCACGCAAGTGTGCAAGTATAAGTACACAAATATAAGTACAATACTGTACCTGAACATGGCTACAGACACACTCACACAGTTAAGAATAAGAAAATTACTATAAACATTTCTAGCAAGAGATAAGCAGTGCTTCAGAGTCATATAGCATACACAAAAAAGCTTTGTGATCATGCTAAACAAGGTATCACTGGCAGGCATAATCAGCAATATATAATTTCAAAATAAGATAAAGTAATAAAAAACAATGCAAATTCAATCAAAGAAAGAATATCATATTTTACTTAAAAGTGACTTAAAGTGAAGGGATACATTTAACTACGGACTATTGGAAAACAATGAAACCAAAGCTTACTAACTGTAATACTTTCCTTACTCTTCCAAAATGAAGGGAGAGTCTGTTATTATTTTCCAGGTATCTTTTCAAACTGTAGAAGACTTACTTTTGCCCATTCTTGAAAACTATTTTCTCTCTCCTGTTTCTTTCTTTCTTTTCTTTCAATACCCTAGTATATAATACATGTAATACTAGATCTCAATATCTACATAACCTACGACAAGATAAGTAGCAATTCCAATTAATTTTTTTTTTTTTTTTTTTTTTTTTTTTTTTTTTTTTTTTTTTTTTTTTTTTTTTTTTTTTTTTTTTTTTTTTTTTTTTTTTTTTTTTTTTTTTTTTTTTTTTTTTTTTTTTTTTTTTTTTTTTTTTTTTTTTTTTTTTTTTTTTTTTGTCAATGTATCCCATTCACTACAAAATCATTTTCAACCTTGAAACAAAGATGATGTACTTCTGTGACACTTTCTTATGCCAACCTCATGTGATTTATGACCAACATTTATTGCATTTCTTCCTGTCCTGGCAAGATGCAACTTTCAAAAGAATTAAAGTATACATAATCATAAATTGGTCCAACACATCTAAATAAAAAAAAAAAAAAACTATCAGACATTACACCCTCTTCTAAAGCTATTGATATATTTTCTAGTGCTTGCTCTATCTATCTATGTAAGTCCTACTCCACAAGACAACTTTCACTATCAGTATGGAAGGTTTCTTTTTTGCAATACCCTAGTATATAATACATGTAATACTAGATCTCAATATCTACATAACCTACGACAAGATAAGTAGCAATTCCAATTAATTTTTTTTTTTTTTGTCAATGTATCCCATTCACTACAAAATCATTTTCAACCTTGAAACAAAGATGATGTACTTCTGTGACACTTTCTTATGCCAACCTCATGTGATTTATGACCAACATTTATTGCATTTCTTCCTGTCCTGGCAAGATGCAACTTTCAAAAGAATTAAAGTATACATAATCATAAATTGGTCCAACACATCTAAATAAAAAAAAAAAAAAAAACTATCAGACATTACACCCTCTTCTAAAGCTATTGATATATTTTCTAGTGCTTGCTCTATCTATCTATGTAAGTCCTACTCCACAAGACAACTTTCACTATCAGTATGGAAGGTTTCTTTTTTGCAATACCACCACCAAAAAAACAAAACAAAAAAACTATCAGACATTACACTCTCTTCTAAAGCTATTGATATATTTTCTAGTGCTTGCTCTATCTATCTATGTAAGTCCTACTCCACAAGACAACTTTCACTATCAGTATGGAAGGTTTCTTTTTTGCAATACCCTAGTATATAATACATGTAATACTAGATCTCAATATCTACATAACCTACGACAAGATAAGTAGCAATTCCAATTAATTTTTTTTTTTTTGTCAATGTATCCCATTCACTACAAAATCATTTTCAACCTTGAAACAAAGATGATGTACTTCTGTGACACTTTCTTATGCCAACCTCATGTGATTTATGACCAACATTTATTGCATTTCTTCCTGTCCTGGCAAGATGCAACTTTCAAAAGAATTAAAGTATACATAATCATAAATTGGTCCAACACATCTAAATAGAAAAAAAAATATGTTACCAAAAATAAAAAAAAAATTACATTGACAAAAATCAAAATAATTTTTCTACAACATGAACCAGGACCAGAAAATGTGCAACGGAAAATGTTAGTGAGGCACACATATTTCAAGGTCATTCTTACCCACAGCTCCTGCTGCTCAGCCACAGTGTCGGGAAACAATAAAAAAAAAAGACGAAGAAAAAAAAAACAAAGAAAACGAATAAGTCTCAGAATATGGGAGGGATCAGGGAAGGGAAAGGGGAGGGGGTTATTGCCCCTGCTTTTGACGGTGATGATTCTCAAGTCAACTTCAACATGCCTAGTATTACCTTAACAAAACCCCAAACTCAACATTAAATTGGGTGTGTAATATAAAAATATATGGTGCACAATAATCCATCCAAAATAACAACTGCAAACCAGAGGAAGTACATTAAACATATGGATTATGGTTGCATCACATGAAACAAAACTGCTTAGCACGAAATAAAACTCATTTCATAATTACAAAGGATATACATCAAGGAACTCTCTTTCTTCATAATGTAAACACCTGTATTGTACATACCTAACAATTAATATATCTACCAAGCCAAAATATTATTAAACAAAATATCATCCTTTCCAAATTTTTCACTTGATTTTCTCCTACAGATTTTTTTGTTGGTGTGTGTGCAAAACATATCTTAAGCTCTAGCTATTTATTTTTATTTCTTTCTAGACAGATATCTAGATATATGAAAAGGGGACTTTACTTGTATAAGGAGACATACACTAGAAGTTAAACATAAGTACAATTAATAATAATAATAAAAAAAAAATCCTTGATGTATAATACCTTTCACATTCAAAATAAAACTATTACCAAGTAACTCAACAGGATATCAGCTAATATGGACTGATAAAGAAAAAAGAAAAGAAAAAAAAAACACAACACAGAAAAGCACTACATGAAAACTACAACATAGTGCTAACTGAACCTCACGTGCCAACACATATTTTCTTGTTAATAAAATCAAATGTTGAGCAACATAATGTGTTATCATGTGTTTCCTGGCAATGAGATATCTTCATAGTACTACGAGCATCATGACACAATGGCACACTGTAGCAATGATGAGGCATGCTTGTTTCTACAAAACTGGCACTTACCGGATTATGTCTAAGCTGTGCTGTGCGAGCAAGTGAGGCACCGCTTACATCCACATCAGCATTATCTTGATAGCTGCTGCCACTGTGTGAATTGCAATGAAGTTACCAATACGGATTTAACACTTCTGTGAATAGATTTTGTGATCTTTCCCACATTCAGAAATTTGCTCTTCTCCATCTCTTCACAATTAGGACAATTATTCAAATGATTTAAAATCATACAGTATTTTGCTATGTCATTACAATCAGAAGAACGTTAAGGCTCATTCTGCAGAGAAAACTATCAGCCGTTTGAATCTAAGGTTTTAATAAAAAATGATAAATAGTAAGAACTAAACCTTGTTTCACATCTATTTAATTCTATTACTATTAAAATAAGAATTTTCTGAAAAGAAAAGGAGAGAAACAGTTACCTGACTTTTGCATTTTCATAAGTTGCAGTTCGTGACTGTGCAAACATATCAAAGTCTGCATCTTCATTTTTCTTCACTTTAGGAGAGCTTCCAACAGCTGAAAAGAAAGGAGAGCACTAATATTTCATATCCTACAAATATGAATAAAAATAAATAAACAAATAAATAAAAAACCCAATACTTCATCTTTTACCCTTTTGAAGACAATCTAGTATGAAAAGACAAAATACAAAAATGAGACCAACTTATTTTCCAGCATAAGGCAGAAGTTTGCCCTCTCTCGATCCTAGGGCACATTCTGGATCAGGCAATAACAAAGATCAGGCTATCATGATAATGCTATAGAGGCATCCCCAAGATAAAGAGTCAGAACAGCAAAGGCTATATATATATTCCTTTCAGAAGTACACTTTATCAATAAAAGTCTTCCTACCAAGTGCTATCTTAGTAGTATTAAAAATTCAGCTTACATTATGTCGCAATACATAAAATATGCTACAAACAAGAATATACATCTCAGGATCTTGTTTTACGCAAGATACTTAAAAAGACAGGAAGCATCATTTCATTTCACCTGCTGAAACCAACAATGAAATGAACTTTTTCCCTGAAGTATTCTGATGGCTGTTTATAGCATGGTTATTATAAATAAAAGAGTGGTATTTCAATTTCCTTTCTGGCAATTATAACAACAGAGTAAATTATACAAATAATTCTCTCTCTACTCAGGCATCTCACACTGCACCCCCACTGCCTTAATGTCATGACGGCACTTATCTTCCCCGGTTTCACTCCTGTCAATATGTGAAATATATTATGCAAAGCATTTTCTTTGTAAAAAAAAAGTTCAATAATAAAAAAGGAGGAGGAGGAGGAGGAGGAGGAGGAGAAAGAGGAGGAAGATGAGGAGGAAGAAGAGGAGGAGGAGGAGGAGGAGGAGGAAGAGGAGGAAGAGGAAGAGGAAGAGGAGGAGGGAGAAGAGGAAGAGGAAGAGGGGGAGGAGGAAGAGGAGGAGGAGGAGGAGGAGGAAAAGGGGGGAGGAGGAGGAAGAGGAGGAGGAGGAAGAGGAGGAGGAAGAGGAGGAGGAAGAGGAAGAGGAGGAGGAGGAGGAGGAGGAGGAGGAGGAGGAGGAGGAGGAGGAAGAGGAGGAGGAGAAGTAGAAGGACAAAGAGGTGGGGGAGGAAGAGGGGGGGAGGAGGAGGAAGAGGAGGAAGAGGAGGAGGAGGAAGAGGAGGAGGAGGAGGAGAAGGAAGAGGAGGAGGAAGAGGAGGAAGAGGAGGAAGAGGAGGAAGAGGAGGAAGAGGAGGAGGAGGAAGAGGAGGGGGAGGAAAAGGAGGAGGAATTGGAGGAATAGGAGGAGGAGGAGAAGTAGAAGGACAAAGAGGTGGTAGTGCCAGTGGCAGTGGCAATGAATAAAGAAGGAGGAGGAGGAGGAGGAGGAGGAGGAGGAGGAGGAGAAGGAAGAGGAAGAAGAGGAGGAGGAAGAGGAAGAGGGAGAGGAGGAGGAAGAGGAGGAGGAAGAGGAGGAGGAGGAGGAGGAGGAGGAGGAGGAAGAACAGGAGATGGAAGAGGAAGAAGAAGAACAGGAAGAGGAAGAGGAGGAAGAAGAGGAGCAGGAGGAAGAGGGGGAGGAAAAGGAGGAGGATTGGAGGAATAGGAGGAGGAGGAGAAGTAGAAGGATGAAGAGGTGGTAGTGCCAGTGCCAGTGGCAATGAATAAAGAAGAGAAGATGATGAAAGAACAAAACAAAGAAACTTACTAAGGCCAGCTAGCTGAGCCGAGGGAGGTTCATCAGCCAGATCAATCAAGGACACCTCTGCTTGTGGAGCTCGCTGGGGGGGTGGAATCTGGGGGGGCTGCTGTGTGGGGGGGACCTGCTGGGGGGATCTCGTGGGACTGCTAATGCCTTTCACCTTGCTCATGTGGCGGTCGTATCTGTGTGAATTCGGCAGAGTTACAAAGTGGAATATTACTAGTCAGAGATTGTGAATTCCCTTGCTTAATAAATGCAAAATTCTCTTTACCAAGACAAGAATCAAGTCAGTATAGGTAAGAAAGACAGGAAAGCAAATAAGAGAACAAGAAGACAGACAGAGAGAAAAAAGGAGAAGGAAAGGAAGAAGAAAATGGTTGCAGCAATAATTAAGAATAATACAAAACTGTATAAAAATCTATTCAATATCAATGCAATAACACAAAAACTACAGTTGCATGGAAAATTGCTACATCCACAAAAAATTATCCTTTTAGCTCCAAAAGGAAACTCACAGCTTTTTACGGCAACTGAAAAATACCAGCAATTGTTGTTTTCCTTACAATAATTAGACATATTAAACATATTATCAACCAATGCATGTATCTATCAATATTCCATTAAAAAACATATAAATTAATGAAAATATCATTCACTAATTATCTATAGCAACTCTCCCCAACTGATAATCAATACTAATTTTGCAAACACAAATAAGACAAGTATCATACCTCAGGAAAAGATTATTAAGGTTGTCATTTATACGCAGCAGGTCAGCTGTGAGAAGGTCATCATTCACACGACCAACAAGTTCTACCACACGTTGCTGCATTGCTCGACAGGTTGCATGTAATTCCTTTAGAATGCAAAATATGGGAACTGAGAATAAAGTCTATTGATTTATCTAAAAAAAAATAATAAATGTGAGCTATTTCCCAATAAAAGTTAACCATGTGAGATTACTAATAATGAAACAGAATAAGTTATAACAAATTATTTGTTCTACAAATCCTTTAAACACACCTGCAGCAACTGAGCATCATCCTGGTGCTCCTTGCCAGGTGAAAGTTCAGACAGCATCTCAGCTAAAACTTTTGCATTCGACTCCACAACATCTAGTTCGCTATGCAGCTTGGCTCGCTGTTCTGCTGTTAGGGTGACAGGTGCAGCCTGAGGAGGTGGAGGCTGGTGGGCTGCTTGACGTCGAGGAGAAGTGGGCACTCCAGAGGGCACACGGGGAGGACGAGGTTCTGGAGCTGCTACAGTCTACAGAAAAAGCAGAAAGTAATACTTCTAATAACAGTCAAAATAACAGAAAGTGATACACTCAGCACATCTTGCCCTCTCTGATTTTCAATTGGACATAGAATAAAAAAGCACATACCCTCTGTGGAGTCAGGATGGGTGCCATGGTGTCAAGATTGGTCATGGGGAACTCCACACCCTTGTGCTTCAGGTCAGCATACACCTGTAAAGACATTCAACTATACTGCCAGAACATTTGCAAATACTTATATATTGCTTGTGGATTGTCTTAACTGTACACTCTGCTATGATTATTGGAGGTCTTAAATCTGTAGTTACTCTTATAATGTGTACTAATGCACATATGTTTCCTATAGAGTCTCTGGCAAACAAAATAACAAATAAAGGTACTAAAAATAAAAATGCTATTAAACCAAAACAAAACAAAACAAAAAAGAGATATTTATCTATGAAAAAAAAAAGAATCTTCACTACTGATCACCTCTTGATCTACCACCCTCACAGTGATCTTGCAGAATGGTGGGGAGGGTAAAAAAATTAGTTCTATACTCTATTTGTCTTACTAATTAGAACACAGACACAGGAGTGTTGCTTGAATACAATATATATATTTTCTAAAAATATATATATATATACATATCACTATTTTTGCTGATGAAAAGTAGACAGACATTCCCTTAACCTCCAGTGACCAACAAAGCTCAATTCAGCCTGCCATAATACTCGCTGTTGAGTACACAGAGGATAGCACTAAAAAAATTTGTGGGATATTTGAGAAACTAGCTACTGGTCCTCCTGGTTGTTTGGTCCTATGCTTGTCTTTTTATTAGCATCGGGCAGGTTTACTCTACCCATTCCACCCAATACTCGCCACCCTACCTGCCTCATCTTTGTACCCCTCTAGCTTCTCTCCACTGCACAGCCTATAAGAGAGCCTTGTCCCCTGCTCTCCTATCTTATGGCCTTTTCACAGTTTCCTTCACACCTTCCCATCCCACCCTTTGTCTACATAAATACACAACATTCTATTGTCTTGTAATAACTATTCTAAACTTCATTGCTTTCCTGCTTGGCAACCATTGAACATATAATCACAGGAGAATCTTATTCTGATATGTAAAGTCAACCTCTCCAAACTCCTACTAAAGCTACATGTATGAAATATGAAAATCTGAGCATCATCAAATCTGTGCAAAGGAACTATGGTTTACTTATTTAACTCAGTTCAATTTCACATTCACTAAGCAATATACCTCTAAAGAAACTTAAGCCACTGGAAAATTGTTTAAATCAAATAAATATCAACACAATAAATAATAATAACATTGATATAGTAATAAGATATATAAACAAATATAACACAAAGATAAAACAACAACCACTTTGCTAAGAGCATATCGAGTAATCCATTCATTACATTACAGCCAAACAAAAATGAGCAACCACTTAACACAGCAACTCTATACAATTCTATAAAAATCTAAACCAAACTATTTCTCACCTGACTGACTCCTGCAAGCTCAGGCTGGTGACGGAAAGCATCAGCCCAAGACTGGATAAGCGACAAGACCTTCTCCTGGACTGCTGGTGGTGGCTCGTTCTTGGGACCTGAGGGGGATGAAATATCTACTTTATTTCCCTTTCGTAACATTAACTTTTAGTCTCTTTTCTTTTTTCACATGTGGTTATCATGCTATCAAAAGCTATCAACTAATGACATACAGCAAATATCTTCAAAAATTAGAAAAGTTTTGAGTGTTACTAAGAG